TGAAAAGGTTAGTTTATCATTACTCCTGAAATTACCTTATTGTGGCTTCAAAAACTTGGACTGTATTATTCTTCTCAAATGTTACAGAATCAATCACAAGCTGTACAGCTCTCTTGAATTCACTGCTGTTGCCCATTATCTGTGAAAAAAAGTTACAAATAAAAAATGACTCCAAATTGTCATATATCCACCTGTTCAACTACAAAGACTTGTAATTACACAGGCTAAATCTAACAGTTAAGCAGCCAATTAAAATTAACCCCTTTCAGCCATCAGCCAATAAAACTCAACCATGAATTCAGTGCTAGCCTATCAAAACAAAGCAAACTTAAGTGAGCAGGTGAAGAGTCCCACATTGAAAACAAACATATATCAATATGATGCACATGTGCTTCAACATAAAATTTTTCATTCCTGAGTTCTCGCATTTTATTATTGACACAATTAAATGGTAATCAGACTTTATGCCTATCAATTCAGAGTTATCATACTCGCAACCTTAAATCAGCTTCCTGCTACTGACTTTGTCCATTTGAAATCATTTGCCTGACTACTCCCAAAATTATACTCTACTCAGTCCTATTACCATTCCTAGTTGCTAATTTTATAACTTACAAGTGTAGAACTTAGTAAGTATATATTTGTGTCACAACATTCTGGCACAAATCCAGTTTCATTGTCATTACTTACTGCCAATGTGCCAAGAGATTCCAACAGTCCTAGTGAATAATCTCCTAAAACATCATTGATGTTAATATTTGACCTGAACAAGGAGAGAAAATAACATTATTATGATGAAATTCAACATTTTGCTGGTAAGAAGGAATTGCTCACGTAAAATATTACACAATAGGCACAATAACTTTTGTTTCCCGATTAATAACAAAGCATCAAAGCAACATAACACAAAGCGCTTCAGTAATAAAGCTAATGCGTAGTATATGATGAAATTTCATTGTATTCAGTGCAAATGTCTCAGGGTTTTAGTATTCCGTTTATGAATATGGCCACAGCTGTAACGAAAACCACTGAATGATCGATCAACCACCTCTGAGGTACCAAAGACAAAATTGCGAGTACAACTTATCTGTGACCTTCGATCCTTCAATAAAATGAGTTTCTTCGTTGAATACATTGTAAGGAACTCCTCTTACAAAGAAACTATGTTCATATACATGGGTCCATTTAAAGACAGATTTCGTACAACTTGATTAATGGGGATAATTTGAATTTCAGGTAAGATCGGTGGTAAACGTCATACATCCTTAGTAAACACAACTGGCGTGGTAGTAACAATTAACGAGACACACTCACGGATTGTCATGATCCGGTCCTCTTCCTGTGCAATGAATCGGATCGAGTTCGTCTTTAGGAAAAGCAAAATTCATGTAATTGTCATACCCAAAATAAAACATCTCTTTAGCTTTTTCTCTTAATTTAATTCGTTCATTCTCCGAGAAGTGCCGATATTTGCCACTAGAAACTCTACTACAGCGATTCTGTGTGCCTAAGCTTATCCTTAGTTCTGTACAGAAAACGGTAAAAGCTAAAAAACTTCCTAAAACTTCGTTCATCATAACACTTCGACAAGATCAGATAAAATGAACGTTCTACCGAAGTGTTTATACCTTAGTCCATTGTCTCTCGACCAATGGGAACACAGTACGCCCAAGGTAGCGATTGGTGATCTCGTTCGCGCGGAAATACGAACC